ACTGTAATTTTGTGAATTTTAAGATTCTAATCTTGTAAATTCCGAAAAAAAAATCAAAATTGTAGCTTTGTAAATTTTAAAATTGTAATTTGTGATTGTGAATTCAAAGAAAATTCCAAAATTGGAATTTGATGAAATTTGAGATTGTAATCTTATCAATTTCAAGAAAATTTTAAAATTTTAATTTTGTGAATTGTAAGAAAATTTAAAAATGGTTATTTTGTGAATTTTAAGATTTTAATCTTGTGAATTCCAAAAAAAAATTCAAAATTGCTATTTTGTGAATTTTAGGATTGTATGTAATCTAATGAATTCTTAAATAAATCAAAATTGTAATTTTGTGAATTTTGAGATTGTAATTTTGTGAATTATAAAAGTATGTATGTATAATCCAAAATTGTAATTTTGTGAAGTTCAAGATTGTAATTATGTGAATTCCGAGAAAATTTTAAAATTGTAATTGTTTTTAATTTCAAGATTGAAAGAAAATTTAAAAGTTTTAACTTTGTGAAGTTCAAAATTGTAATTTTGTGAATTGTGGGAAAACTCAAAAATTGTTATTTTGTGAATTTTAAGATTGTAGTCTTGTGAATTCTATCCAAGACAATTTAAAAATGTAGTTTTGTGAATTTTAGGATTGTATGTAATCTTATGAATTCTAAAATGAATCAAAATTGTAATTTTGTGAATTTTGAGATTGTTATCTTGTGAATTATAAAAATATAATTCAAAATTGTAATTTTGTGAATTTCAAGATTGTAATTTTGTGAATTCTGAAAAAATTTTAAAATTATAATTTTTTTTATTTGTTTACTCTAAAAAAAAAAAAATTAAAAAAAAATAATCTAAGAAAATTAACGCCGGAATTATTTTTTTCAAGAAAAATAACGCCGGAAAAAAATTTTCTAAGAAAAAGACACTAAGAAAAAATAATTGTAAAAGGGAAAAAAATATTTAGAAAAAATTATCTAAGAAAATAAACGCCGGAAAAAATTTTTTTAAGAGAAAAAAACACCGGAAAAAAAATTTCATGAGAAATAGAACATCGAAAAAAAATTATTGTAAAGGGAAAAAAAAAATTAAAAAAAATAATCTAAGAAAATTAACGCCGGAAACATTTTTTTTAAGAAAAATAACGCCGGAAAAAAAATTTCTAAGAAAAAGAACGCCGAAAAAAAATAATTGTAAAAGGGAAAAAAATATTAAAAAAAGATAATCTAAGAAAATTAACGTCGGAAAAAATTTTTCTAAGAAAAAAAACGCCGGAAAAATATTTTCACGCCGGAAATTTTTTTTTTAAGGAAAATAACGCCGGAAAAAAATTTTCTAAGAAAAAGACACTAAGAAAAAATAATTGTAAAAGGGAAAAAAATATTTAAAAAAAATTATCAAGAAAATAAACGCCGGAAAAATTTTTTTAAGAGAAAAAAACACCGGAAAAAAAAATTCCTGAGAAAAAGAACCTCGAAAAAAAATTATTGTAAAGGGGAAAAAAAATATTTAAAAAAAAATAATCTAAGAAAAAAAACGCCGGAGAAAAAAATGTTTAAAAAAAAAACGCCGGAGAAAATCTTTTTAAGAAAAAGAACGCCGAAAAAAAAAAATGCAAAAGGGAAAAAATCTAAAAAAAAAAATAATCTGAGAAAATTACCGCCGGAAAAATTTTTTTCAAGAAAAATAACGCCGGAAAAAAATTTTCTAAGAAAAAGAACGCCGAAAAAAAATAATTGTAAAGGGAAAAAAATATTAAAAAAAGATAATCTAAGAAAATTAACGCCGGAACAAATTTTTCTAAGAAAAAGAACACTGAGAGAAAATAATTGTAAAAGGGAAAAAAATATTTAAAAAAAATTATCTAAGAAAATAAACGCCGGAAAAAATTTTTTAAGAGAAAAAAACACCGGAAAAAAAATTCCTGAGAAAAAGAACCTCGAAAAAAAATTATTGTAAAGGGGAAAAAAAAAATTAAAAAAAATAATCTAAGAAAATTAACGCCGGAAAAAAAATTTCTAAGAAAAAGAACGCCGAAAAAAAATAATTGTAAAAGGGAAAAAAATATTAAAAAAAGATAATCTAAGAAAATTAACGTCGGAAAAAAATTTTCTAAGAAAAAAAACGCCGGAAAAATATTTTCACGTCGGAAATTTTTTTTTTAAGAAAAATAACGCCGGAAAAAAATTTTCTAAGAAAAAGAACACTAAGAAAAAATAGTTTTAAAAGGGAAAAAAATATTTAAAAAAAATTATCTAAGAAAATAAACGCCGGAAAAAATTTTTTAAGAGAAAAAAACACTGGAAAAAAAAATTCCTGAGAAAAAGAACCTCGAAAAAAAATTATTGTAAAGGGGAAAAAAAAAATTTAAAAAGATAATTTAAGAAAATTAACGCCGGAAACATTTTTTTCAAGAAAAATACCGCCGGAAAAAAAATTTCTAAGAAAAAGAACACTGAGAAAAAATAATTGTAAAAGGGAAAAAAATATTTAAAAAAAATTATCCAAGAAAATAAACGCCGGAAAAAATTTTTTAAGAGAAAGAAACACCGGAAAAAAAAATTCCTGAGAAAAAGAACCTCGAAAAAAAATTATTGTAAAGGGAAAAAAAAATTAAAAAAAAAAATCTAAGAAAATTAACGCCGGAAACATTTTTTTTAAGAAAAATAACGCCGGAAAAAAATTTTCTAAGAAAAAGAACGCCGAAAAAAAATAATTGTAAAGGGAAAAAAATATTAAAAAAAGATGATCTAAGAAAAGAAAATTAACGCCGGAAAAATTTTTTTTAAGAAAAAAACGCCGGAAAAAACTTTTCTAAGAAAAAGAACGCCGAAAAAAAATAATTGTAAAAGGAAAAAAAATATTAAAAAAAAAAATAATCTAAGAAAAAAAACGCCGGAGAAAAAAATGTTTTAAAAAAAAACGCCGGAGAAAAATTTTTTTCAAGAAAAATAACGCCGGAAAAAAAATTTCTAAGAAAAAGAACACTGAGAAAAAATAATTGTAAAAAGGAAAAAAATATTAAAAAAAAATAATCTAAGAAAATTAACGCCGGAAAAAAAATTTTTAAGAGAAAAAAACACCGGAAAAAACTTTCCTAAGAAAAAGAACGCCGAAAAAAAATTATTGTAGAGGGGAAAAAATTATTTAAAAAAAAATAATCTAAGAAAATTAACGCCGGAAAAAAATTTTCTAAGAGAAAAAACGCCGGAAAAAAAAAAATTCTAAGAAAAAGAACCCCGAAAAAAAATAATTATTGGAAAATAACAAAATTAAAAAGTTCAGAAGAGAAAATGAAAAATAAAAAATGGCAAAAAAATAATAATAATAATATCGACCTTATTGTAGAATCGATAAAAATATCGAGTTAAGTGTGGAGTTGATAAGAATAATGTCAATTTTAATGTGACGGGAAATCGATGGAAAAAATAAATCAAAAATTGATTGGAAAATTCTCGTTGGAAAAAATTTAAAATGCGTTGCAACGAGTTTCTAGCAGTGGCGGTCCATATATGATTATCTGGGGGGGTAATGGATGACGGGAGAATCATATGTAAAAAATACTAAAAACTCAAAACTATTAAGTTATTATCAATGAAGTTTTGATTTTTTGAAAATAACGATATTTTGTAAAGTAAGACTTTAGAAATAATTTTTTCACTCAAAAAGTAAAGGGAGTGGAAAGTTGGAATTTTGAAGACTTTTTCCTAAAGGCTGAATGTAAAAAATACTAAAAACTCAAAGCAATTGAGTTATTATTAATGGAGTTATGATTTTTTGTGAATAATGATGTTTTGTAAAGTAAGACACTACAAACAATTTTTTCACTCAAAAATTAAAGTGAGTGGAGAGTTGAAATTTTAAGGACTTTTTCCTAAAGGTTCAATGTGAAAAATACTAAAATTTCAAAGCGATTGAGTTACTATTAATGGAGTTATGACTTTTTCAAAACAATGATGTTTTGTAAAGTAATACTCTACAAACAATTTTTTCACTCAAAAATTAAAGTGAGTGGAGAGTTGAAATTTTAAGGACCTTTCCCTAAAGACTCAATGTGAAAAATACTAAAAACTCAATGCAATTGAGTTATTATTAATGGAGTTATGATTTTTTTTAAATAATGATGTTTTGTAAAGTAAAACTTTATAAACAATTTTTTCACTCAAAAATTAAAGTGAGTGGAGAGTTGAAATTTTGAGGACTTTTTCCTAAAGGCTCAATGTAAAAAATACTAAAAACTCGAAGCAATTGAGTTATTATTAATGGAGTTATGATTTTTTTAAAATAATGATGTTTTGTAAAGTGAGACTTTACAAACAATTTTTTTACTCAAAAACTAAAGTGAGTAGAACTAGAAAGTTGAAATTTTGAGGACTTTTTCTTAAAAGTTAAATGTAAAAAATACTAAAAACTTCAAGTGATTGAGTTATTATTAATGGAGTAATGATTTTTTTAAAATAATGATGTTTTGTAAAGTAAAACTCTAAGGCCCAAAACCAAAACTCTTTATTCCACCGTATAGTAGGTACGTCGGTACTGGCAAGCTTTGGTACTGGTGAGCCTATCAATTTATACAACGCTCAAATAAGATTTTTCAACAAGTTTTTTAAAAATAATGAAAAATAAAAGAATTGAAAAAAAAAAAACAATAAAAAAAAAAATGTTTAAAAGTAAAAAAAAAATTAAAATTAGGATGAAAAAATAAAAAATAGAAAAAGTAAAATAGAAAATTTATAAAATTTAATCTAAAAGTCAAAAAATAAAATTAAAAATTGAAAAAATTATGCAAAAAAATTTAAGAGACGAATATGAAAAAATTCAAATTGGAAAAATCAAAAAAAAAATTACTAGAAAAAGAAAAATATTGAAAAAATTTAATAAAAAAAAGATTAAAAATTTCAAAAAAAGTGAAAATAAAAAATAAGAGAAAAAAAATTGGAAATTGACTCAAAAATTAGAAAAAAGAGAGAATAAAAAAGTACAAAAAATTGATAAAAACAAATTCTTACCTTCTCCATAAACTCGCGGAAAAAAGGCCTTGTACGCACGTACACCGTGTAAGAACAATCCTGGAACAGAACCGGGAACCGGAAACTGGCGTCGCTGAGCTCCTGCAGGCTGCAATGGACCAGAGTCTCGTCGAGATCGAGCACCAGACTGAACTCGGGACTCGATCTTGTCTTCAGAGGCAGAGCCGGACACTTTCTGGACAACATTTCGAACGTCAACGGCGGCAATTGCTTGATGAACAAGTACGGATCGAAAGTCGCCTCCCAAGTGTCCTCGACCACTTCGACTTGTTGCTGTTGGTCGGGTTGTTGTTGCTGTTGCTGGTAGTTGAACGTAGCGAAGTCGTAGACCAGATTCACGTTTTTCGCCATTTCCTAAAATTGAAAAAAAAAAAGGTATTTTCTGAGTCGAAATGTAATTTCTGAGTCAGAATGTATTTTCTAAGCAGAAATGTATTTTCTGAGTTTAAATGTATTTTCTTAGGTAAAATGTATTTTCTGAGTGGAAATATATTTTTTGAATAAAAATGTATTTTTTGAGTCGAAATGTAGGAATTTCTGAGTCAGAATGTATTTTCTAAGTAGAAATGTACTTTCTGAGTCCAGAGGTATTTTCTGAGTCAAAATGTATTTTCTGAGTCGAAATGTATTTTCTGAGTCGAAAGTGATTTTTATTCAAAAGTCCAACTGCAATTTTCAATTCATCAATTCTTATGAAAACCACAGTTCAAGGGGCAAACCACCTAGGAATTCTTTGCCAAAAATATGGGGAATTTAGAGGAATTTGTGGGGAATTTAAAGGAACTAATCGGAATTTATGAGAATTTGGGAAATTTATAGGGAATTTGGAGAAATTTATGTGGATTTGGAGAAATTTGTAAGGAATTTATGAGGAATTTAAAGGAAATTGTAGAGTAATACGTCGCTGAGGTTCACATTTTTATTATGAGAAACGCTAATAATAGAAAATTTAAAATCTAGTTTTGTGTTGGACGTTGGACATTTACTTTTATTAAAAAAAATTCTCCCAAAGTTTCACATGATTCACAAGTCCAAATTTGAAAAATTTAAAAGAATGACTACAGTTTTTGTAGGCCAACATTCTTCATATTGCTATTTTCCACTAGTAAAATTTGAAATTTTGGGAGAATAAGCCTCTAACCTTCCTTGTTACATACAAAAAGTTTCAAATTTTTCCCTCTAACAGTTTTCCAGGAAAACTTTGAATTGCGTGAGACGGTATTTTCAATTGTTTCAGTTATTGTAGGTTGATTTCCAAGATACTTAATGTTGTTATTTTTCACGGGAAAAATTTGAAATTTTGGGAAAATGAGCCTTTAACCTTTCTCCTCATATGCAAAAAGTTTCAAATTTTTGCCTTTACTAGTTTTCCAGGAAAACTTTGAATTGTGTGAGACTGTATTTTCAATAAATTCAGTTATTGTAAGTTAATTTCCAAGATTCTTTATGTTGCTATTTTCCACTAGAAAAATTTGAAATTTCGGGAAAATGAGCCTCTAACCTTCCTCTTTAAATACAAAAAATTTCAATTTTTTCCCTCCTCCAACAGTTTTCTAGGAAAACTTGGAAATATGTAAGACGGTATTTTCAATAATTGTTTCAGTTATTGTAGGTTTCAAGATTCTTTATGTTGTTATTTTCAACTGGAAAAATTTGAAATTTTGGGAAAATGAGCCTTCAACTTTTCTCCTCACATGTAAAAAGTTTCAAATTTTTGCCTTTATTAGTTTTCCAGGAAAACTTTGAATTGTGTGAGACTGTATCAACAATTATTTTAGTTTTTGTAAGTTGATTTCCAAGATTCCTTATGTTGTTCTTTCCCAATGAAAAAATTTGAAATTATGGGAAAATGAGCTTCTAACTTTTCTCTTCATATGCAAAAACTTTCAAATTTTTCCGTTCATTAGTTTTCCAAGAAAACTTTGAAATGTGTGAGACTGTATTTTCGAATAATTCAGTTAGAGTAGGTTAATTTCCAAGATTCTTTATGTTGTTATTTCCACTGAAAAAATTTGAAATTTTGGTAAAATGAGCCTTTAACCTTTCTCCTCATATGCAAAAAGTTTCAAATTTTTGGCATTATTGGTTTTCCAGGAAAACTTTGAATTAAGTGAGACTTTATTTTCGATTAATTCCGTTATTGTAGGTTGATTTTCAAAATTCTTTATGTTGCTATTTTCCACTAGAAAAATTTGAAATTTTGGGAAAATAAGCCTCTAACCATCTTCTTTAAATACAAAAAGTTTCAAATTTTTCCCTCTAACAGTTTTCTAGGAAAACTTGGAAATATGTAAGACAGTATTTTCAATTGTTTAAGTTATTGTAATAATAATTCAGTTTTTTCAACAGTTAAATTTTTTTTGACAATTGAATGTTTTGACGATGGAATTTTTTTAATATGTAAATGTATTTTTTTTAACAATTGATTTTTTCGAAAATCGAATTTTTTGACAATTAAATTTTTCGAATCTTTTGACAATTGAATTTTCCCCATTTTTTCGACATCGAATTTTTGACCAGTTAAACCTTTTTTTGAAAATTGAGTTTTTTTGAAAATCGAATTTTTGAATTTTTTGACAATTAATTTTTCCTAAAATCAAATTTTTTGACAATAATTGAATTTTCCGAATTTTTTTGACAAAGAACTTTTGACCAGTTGAACTTTTTATGACAATTGAGTTTTTTTTGAAAATCTAATTTTTTGACAATTGAATTTTCCGAATTTTTTCAAAAACAAATTTTTGACCAGTTGAACTTTTTTGACAATACATTTTTGAATTTTTCGGTATTGACTTTCGTTTTCTACATTTTTTTTTTTTACGATTAATTTTTTCGAAAATCGATTTTTTCGAGAATTGAATTTTTCGTATTTTTTCCACAACGAATTTTTTGACCAGTTGAACTTTTTTTGACAATTAAGATTTTTTGAAAATCAAATTTTTTGACAATAATTCAGTTTTTTCAACAGTCAATTTTTTTTTTTGACAATTGAATGTTTTGACGATGGATTTTTTTTAATATGTAAATGTATTTTTTTAACAATTGATTTTTTCGAAAATCGAATTTTTTGACAATTAAATTTTTCGAATTTTTTGACAATTGAATTTTCCGAATTTTTTGGACAACGAATTTTTGAACAGTTAAACATTTTTTTCGAAAATTGAGTTTTTTTGAAAATCGAATTTTTGAATTTTTTGCCAATTAATTGTTCCTAAAATCAAATTTTTTGACAATAATTGAATTTTCCGAATTTTTTTAACAACGAATTTTTGCCAGTTGAACTTTTTATGACAATTGAGTTTTTTTGAAAATCGAATTTTTTGACAATTAAGGAGTTTTTTTCAACAGTTGAATTTTTTTTGACAATTGAATGGTAATTTTTAATTTTGACAGTTGATTTTTTTTAAAACATTAAATTGGCAAGATGAACATTTTTCTTTGATAATAGATTTTTCTTTCAAAAAAATAAATTGTCAAGTTGAATTTTTTGACAATTGAATTTTCCGAATTTTTTCGAAAACAAATTTTTGACCAGTTGAACTTTTTTGACAATACATTTTTGAATTTTTCGGTATTGACTTTCGTTTTCGACATTTTTTTTTTTACGATTAATTTTTTCGAAAATCGATTTTTTCGAGAATTGAATTTTTCGTATTTTTTCCACAACGAATTTTTTGACCAGTTGAACTTTTTTTGACAATTAAGATTTTTTGAAAATCAAATTTTTTGACAATAATTCAGTTTTTTCAACAGTCAATTTTTTTTTTTGACAATTGAATGTTTTGACGATGGATTTTTTTTAATATGTAAATGTATTTTTTTAACAATTGATTTTTTCGAAAATCGAATTTTTTGACAATTAAATTTTTCGAATTTTTTGACAATTGAATTTTCCGAATTTTTTGGACAACGAATTTTTGAACAGTTAAACATTTTTTTCGAAAATTGAGTTTTTTTGAAAATCGAATTTTTGAATTTTTTGCCAATTAATTGTTCCTAAAATCAAATTTTTTGACAATAATTGAATTTTCCGAATTTTTTTAACAACGAATTTTTGCCAGTTGAACTTTTTATGACAATTGAGTTTTTTTGAAAATCGAATTTTTTGACAATTAAATTTTTTGATTTTTTTCGACAACGAATTTTTGATCAGTTGAACTTTTTTTGACAATTGGGTTTTTTTTTTAAATCGATTTTGTTTTTTTTCAAAAGTTGAATTCTCTTTGACAATAGAATTTTTTTGACAATTGTTTTTTCGTAAATCAAATTTTTTGACAATTAAATTTTTCGAATTTTTTGACAATTGAATTTTTCCAATTTTTTCGAAAAAGAATTTTTTGACAATTAAGGAGTTTTTTTCAACAGTTGAATTTTTTTTGACAATTGAATGGTAATTTTAAATTTTGACAGTTGATTTTTTTTTAAACATTAAATTGGCAAGATGAACATTTTTCTTTGATAATAGATTTTTCTTTCAAAACAATAAATTGTCAAGTTGAATTTTTTGACAATTGAATTTTCCGAATTTTTTCGAAAACAAATTTTTGACCAATTGAACTTTTTTGACAATACATTTTTGAATTTTTCGGCATTGACTTTCGTTTTCGAATTTTTTTTTTACGATTAATTTTTTTCGAAAATCGATTTTTTCGAAAATTGAATTTTTCGTATTTTTTCCACAACGAATTTTTTGACAATTAAGATTTTTTGAAAATCAAATTTTTTGACAATAATTCAGTTTTTTCAACAGTTAAATTTTTTTTGATAATCGAATTTTTTGACGGTGGAATTTTTTTAATATGTAAATGTATTTTTTTAACAATTGATTTTTTCGAAAATCGAATTTTTTGACAATTAAATTTTTCGAATTTTTTGACAATTTAATTTTCCGCATTTTTTCGACAACGAATTTTTGACCAGTTAAGTAAACCTTTTTTTTTTAAATTGAGTTTTTTTGAAAATTGAATTTTTGGACAATTAATTTTTCCTAAAATCAAATTTTTTGACAATAATTGAATTTTCCGAATTTTTTTGACAACGAATTTTTGACCAGTTGAACTTTTTATGACAATTGAGCTTTTTTGAAAATCGAATTTTTTGACAATTAAATTTTCCGATTTTTTTCGACAACGAATTATTGATCAGTTGAACTTTTTTTGACAATTGGGTTTTTTTTTTTAAATCGATTTTTTTGACAATCATTAAATTTTTTGTTTTTTGTCAAAAGTTGAATTCTCTTTGACAATAGAATTTTTTTGACAATTGTTTTTTCGTAAATCGAATTTTTTGACAATAATTGAATTTTTCGAATTTTTTTGACAACGAATTTTTGACCAGTTGAACTTTCTATGACA